TGGGTGGATGGATGGGTAGATGTTGGATGGATGGATGGGTGGATGGATGGATGGATGGATGGATGAGTGGATGGGTGGATGGGTTGGTAGATGTTGGCTGGCTGGTTGGATGGATGGGTGGATGGAGGAGTGGATGGATGGATGGGTAGATGATGGCTGGCTGGCTGGATGGGTAGGTGGGTGGGTATGTGGATGGATGGATGAGTGGATGGATGGATGGATGGATGGGTGGGTGGATGGGTAGATGCTGGTTGGCTGGCTGGATGGGTGGATGGATGGGTAGATTCTGGGTGGATGGATGGATGGATGGGTGGGTGGATGGCTAGATGCTGGCTGGATGGATAGATGAGTAGACGGGTGGATGGATGGGTGGATGGATGGCTAGATGCTGGATGGATGGATGAATGGATGGGTGGATGGTGATTAGATGGATGGGTGGGTGAATGAATGGATAATCAGGAATGAAAGATTAAACAGATGAAAGAACGACAGTAGTCATCATTTCTGGTTCCCAGTGGAGGCAGGAAGGACATGAGCACGTCCAGCACCAGGTTCTGAGATCCTGCACGAGGCCGTATTGTGGCAGTGACCCCTTGGCTCACACCTGCCCCCCCCAACCCCCCGCTGTGGGAGGATAGGGCTTCTGGGGATTTCTGGTCTTTGCCCCCATTTCCCCCACATCTCAGCTCTGGGGCCTTGATTTTCCTTCTTTACCTAAGAAGCGCACACCTGCCCTCTTCGCGTCTTCTGCAAAGGACGGATGGCTTCTGCTCTCACCTGGGTGTTCTCTGTAGAACTTGTGTCGCGGGAATTGCCCACCTGGAACACATCGAACAGATAAAACTCTCTCAGGGCGGGGCCAAACCATCCAAAGCCGTGCGGACAGCACTGACGCCTGTCCCGTTCAGTTTCCCTGGTGCACGGTGGCATGTTCCCGAGGCTGCAGGACGAGTGCAGCTGACCTGCGCCCAGGAGGAGCCGGCGGAAGCTCATTTGTGACCGGGGGAGCCGCGCGGGGACTCTACGCAGCGCCATTCTCCGTCGTGGGGAATAAGAGTAAAGAGAAATGTTACTCTGCAGCATATAATGGGTTTACACTGTTCTTTTAAAATCACGAAACAGCATTTTACGGCCGCTAGTTTCTACTGATGAATCTCCACAGCCATAACCCTCATGAGGAGACTCTAGGCAGATGCCTCGACACTGTTTTGTTTTGAGGGTAACGGGTCCCGAGCCCAGGGAGTCTGGGACGCACCATCTTAACGCGAACTCGAGGGAACTGCGGCGCGCTCCGGCACCGTCAGCCCCAGGCATGCGCGAGCAGGGAGTCCCTGGCGCGGGTCTGCGCAGACTCCAGCGTCATTACTGTGAAGGACCGAGGGACTCGAGCGTGAATCTCCACTCCCCCGTGCGCCCGTGTGAGCTCAGTTTTCTCACCTGAAATCTGTGCCTCTGTTATCACAGGGATTAAATGGCTTAAATGTAGAACATGGCTACGCAAGTATTAGGAGGAATCATATAAAATCGTCCCTGTTACAGGCAAGACATGGTCAACCGCTTCCAGTTTCATGTCCCCGCCTCACAGTTCCTGCTGCTGTTTGTCCTTGACTCCATCTGTTCCCTCAGCCCCACCAGGACACTCGCAGAGGGCACAGCCAGGGTGTGGCACCTCCACCGGGCCACCTCCCTAGCACTGAGCTCAGGGTCCCCTCTTGGTGGCAGCGCTCTCCTTTCTGCTGTGATGCTGATCATTCACATTTCTGCCATAGCCGACATTGTCCTCTTGTTCTGGGGCCACGTACAGGGTCTCTGGGACCAGTGGGGCACCCGAGGAGTTGACCCCAGCATTGGGCAGCAGCTTAGCCTTGACGGCAATGGCTTTTCCCAATCAGTGGCTGGGTGTCCGTCCCAGGCTGGGATCTCTGGGCCACTCCCGCAACCTGGTGAGGGCAAAGGACAGAGGCGTGTGCATGCCTGAGGCCCGGCTCCGGCTTCGGGAGTGTAGTTCCAAAAGCGCTCAGGTCACTTGTGCCCAACCAGTTTCCTCCTGCCAAGGCTGCATGAGCCCCACATTGTTCCTCCTGTGCCTCATCCTGGTCCCCACCCAGCTTCTCAACCAGCTGGCGTCCACTCAGAGAAGGCACCGATGCCCCGCCCCACTCCCTGACCCAGGTCGCTGCATGCGCTGACATTCGCCTTCCTCCATGGGGGACTCGAGTCCTCAGATGCCCGCTTTCCAGCCCACCCAGCATTTGCCTGCCCCTGACCCGGGCGGCCTGGCAGGGGCGCTTGGCCCTCGGGGCCCCGCGAGGTCTGCTCCTTCCTCGCTGGTGGTGTTAGGATAAGTGGAGAGGTGTGCACGGCGCAGGGCAGAGGGAGAGGGAGAAAGGACAAAGTCAGGGGACCGTGTTGAGCAACAACTGGGATGGACCTGGGTGCAGGGTACCACACCCTTGGAGCTTTTCAGGAAGGAGTCATTTCAAATGCGCAGTTCATAAAATGAAAGGAAAGACTTTCTCTTGGTGATGCGAGGACAAGAGCGCCATCGCTGGGGAGGAGCCGGCCGGCTTTACGGAGTGGCCGGCCTCAGCCGTAATTGGCCGTTACTGATGCTTGACAGCCCCGGAGCCAGGCGGGCTCTGGCTTCACGTGTCCCCACCCCCGCGAGGCCATGGCAGTGGCACCCTTGCTGAGGACCTGTGCGCCGCCCCCGTTCCTGGGTGCTCTCCACTCCCCCTCCCAGAGGCACCCCCCACCCCGTTACACCTGAAGAAACTGCGACTAGAAAACATTTGGTAACTGCCTGCGGTTGGCGGAAGTCTGCAGGCTGTGAGCCCATTTGTGAGCGGCTGGGCCACGAACCTGACCTCGTGCCCTGGCTTCCCCGCAGGTCACACCACATGCCGACGCAACATTTTTTAGTACCGGGGGTGAACCCGGGGCCTTAACGCTGAGCTGCATCCCCAGACCTTTTGGTATTTTTTACTTTAAGACAGGATCTTGCTGAATCACTAGCTCAGGCTAGGCTTGAGCCTGTGTTCACCTGGCCTCAGCCTCCCACCGTGCTGGGATTAAGGGCCTGTGCCATTGCTCCGGGCTACGTTTCTCTTTTTCAGGCTGCAGTGAAACTCAGGGTACCTGCGAGGGGTACATGAGGCTGTTGGGCCTCACTGAAGTCATCATTTATCTGTTCTCTTTCTTAGCTGCATCCTGGAAATGGGGCTCTTTTGCACTCTTTGGCACCTCTGAGAACAGGTCTGAACTGGCTTGGCGTACACCTGTCTTACCAGTCTTACGACAGCGCCCTGACCACCTCGCAGTTCTCCTGACCATCTCTCACTGCCTAGCTGTGCTCTGTGGGCTTTGCACATGTGATTTCAGGGGCTTCCATAACATCACGAAGTAGGCCTATTGTATAGGTGAGAAAACTGAGGCTCAGGGAGGTGAAGAATCTGACCTCAGCTCACCCAGCTTGGAAACTCCCAGCTAGGGTGCAGTCAGTCTTCTGGCTCCAGAGTCCGTGTCCTGTGCCTCTTGGCAGGACAGGGAAGAGACTACAGCAGTGATGGGTGGAGGAGCTCTGGGCCAGCCTCAGGTGCTGGGGATACTTCCCAAGGCAGAGCGCTGCCTGGGGGACCCAGGACAGTGGGGCCAGGAGCAGGTCCGGGGCACCATACTCACCTGCCTGCCTGCGCTGCTTGACACACTGCCCACGGTTGGGGATGCCCTCAGCCGCATTCCCTGAGCTCAGGATGTGGCACTCATAGCCTGAGGGACAAAGAAGGGGCTCCGCACCATCCTCAGTCGTGCTGCAGGCCTCTGCTGTGGGAAGGACATGCACTGGGCTCGAGGGCAGAGCTGGCTTTAGGTCCCAAGGCGTGCAGAGAGAGAGGTGCCCCTCACCTGCTGAACCTCCCTCCTGGCACCACATGCCCCTCTCCCGCCCCTCTCCCTCTCCCCTCACACTTGTACACACACATGTGCATGCATGCACACATGCACACACGGACAGTGCAGTCACGGGACTCCAAAGCCCTCGCATGCCAAGTGACATTCATGCATGTGTACTCAGGCACCCTTCGAGGCACATGTAGTCATACCTGCTATCACAAGCGCTCACAGACAGACACACATACAAACACACACACAAACATAAACACCCCTGCTCACCTGACACAAATCCAGGACACACACTTGCACATACAACCACAGTTTTCCTGTACACAGGGATGTGTGTGCTGCCACAGTCACCCAGACAGTATGTACACAAGTGGGTGTGGAGTCCCAGGCACAGGTACACACACACACACCCCTCCACCTGTCTGGCTGGACCTGGCCTATGCATCCCTCCTGTAGAAGCTGTACCCCAGGAGGCCACCGTGTAGAGAAGCAATGAGCCCTTCTTAGGATCTTAGGGTCCAGAAGCCACCCGCCCTTCTCCCTCCATTCTGCAGCCCAAAGGAGGCCCAGTGGTCAGGGAGATGAAGCCCTGTTTCTGGACCGGACTGTGAGGTCCCAGGGGAGGTACAAGCTGCCCCCTTCATTGCTCGGTGTGGACCAGGGGGCCTGAAGAGGCCCTGGGCTCCACATGTGGACAGACAGCCTGGCACTGCCAGTCTCCTGGCTGTGGCCTGGGAGGGGTCCTGGCCGGACGTGGGGTCAGCTCCCCAAGCCCCCTCACCTTGCAGCACCTCCTCAGGGCCATCCAGGAGCCAGCCATTGCCTCCCAGCCACCGTGGCTTCGGCTGTACCAGCCAGTCTAGAACTAAGGCATCACAGTCAGGTCGATGAGGCAGAGACGTGCACAGCCAGGGCAGGGGATGCCACTGTGCTACCCCAGAGGCCTCCAGGACCCCCAGTGGGCAGAGGCCTGGACACCCTGCAGCACATAGGACAGTGCTCCCCAACAACCAGGTCAAGTGTCCACGTGTATCAGATGTCATCATAACTGCAGTTACTGCTAAGGAGTGGCGCAGCCATTCGCCTGCTGTCAGGGCCTGACCAGATGGACTCACCCTGCCACTCTTAGGGACCCAGGCACGCAGAACTGGGTCAGCCATGGGGCCGACTTTCAGGCAGGGACAGGCAATACCCAGATACAGCCGGTGCAGTCTTGCAGGAAGGAAGGGGAGGTTGGCCAGAGGAGGGATTGCTGTTCTCATGGGAAAAGCCCAAAAGACAACAACGCGGAGGTGAAGAGTGAGCCTTGTGGACATCCGCAGGGAGGGGGTTCAGGCAGGGACCCTGGAGTGGCCCACAACCCTGCACTAAGGATCTGAGGCAGTCGATGCTTCTGCACAGCCAGAGGACTGGATTAAAACTGCCTTGCTGCCTGCTGTGTGCCCTTGGGAAAACGACTCAGCTTCTCAGCGCTGTAGAGAAGGCTGAAACCCATCTCCACCTCAGGGAGCTGGGAGAGCCTACGATGAGACTGCGCAGGAAGCTACTGGGAATGCCGCGCCCCGGCCGGCTCAGCAGGCGTGCCTGTGAGCCCCTTCACCAGCAGAGGGCGCCATTTCCCGGGCTTATGAAGGCATCAAGCGTGCTGGGGCTTTTTCTTGGCTGCGGCCTCACTCCAAGGAAACCAAGTGCGGTCATTCCCAGGGGGGCGGGGGCGAGGTGCCCTCAGACCACCAGGAGCAGCACCGAGGCCTGGGAAGCTCCGCTGCTGCTCCTGCCCATCAGGTGCCTGGTGATAGCAGGGCCCGTAAAGTGCAGACAACAACCGAGGAGCTGCTGCCCATCTCACTGCGCGGAGCGCGGGGCAGGGACGCCTGGCTCGGGTCCTGAGCGCGCCCCGGGCCGCCCCAGCCCCGCTCAGCCCCCCGCCCCCTCTCCTGCTCACCCGGTGGAGGCGGCACTGCCTCCAGGCAGGAGTAGGCACAGCCGTTGTAGCAGCAGCGCTGTCCCCGTGGGCACTCGGAGTCGGCGTGGCAGCGCGCAGCCTGGCAGGCTCCAGGGGGCAGGGTCCTCGGGGGTGGAGGACAGCGGTCAGCACGAGGCTGCCGGAGGCCTGGGGTGCTCGCCTCCTCTTCCTGCGGGCCGAGACAGGACCAGTGGTGCGCAGGTCGGGCTGTGGGCGCCCGGCAAGGGGCAGGGCCTCTCTCACCATGGGCTTCTCAGTGGAAAAGAGTGATCCTGGCAGAACCCGGCCGGAAGGGACGGTCAGGGGCCACAGGTGCTTCTGCATGGTAGTGCCAGCCCGAGCCCGCTGCAAGGCCTCCCCAGCGAGAGCAGAGCAGGGCAGTCTCGGGGTGTTTGCTGGGGATGTTGTGTGCCCCTCAGTGCCCCTAGAGATGTGTATCTCCGAATCTCGTGTGTGTGCATGTCTGCACACCTAGGTATGCACGTATACACACACACATGTGCTTCTAGCTGCGTTTCCAGGTTGCCTGTCATCCATGTATTTCCCTAGAGCTTTGCAAATTCACAGGTCACATGGACAATGAGTAATTCCACCAGACAACCTAAATAAACCTCATAAACATGCTGCTCAGGAAAGCCAGATCCCAGAGCACTGTGCTTGCACCTGCGTCATGTCCACCTTATGAGCAGAAGCCACAGCCCAAGGTCGGGCCGAGAAGCCAGGGCACGGCCGCTGGTGGTGCTGACCCGCCGAGCAGGGCTCGGGTCTACCCTGTCCTTCTGTCAGCACGTGAGCTACAGGGGTTGCTTTGTGGGAGTTTGTGGGGCTGCACTTTAAGATTTCTGGACTTTGCAATATTGTTCCAGTAAAACGTGAGGAATGAGATGCAGCACACACGTAGGAAATGCACATCAGAGGGAGGTTAGGGGGCTCAAGTCACTCCAGGAAGCCCTCGGGCCCTGACTTCAGACCCTGCCATGCCAGTCACACCGTGCTGCTAGATTTGGAGATGGGGCACGTGGGGGCAGACCATTACGTAGTGCACCCCAGTTTGCCCCCATGTCTTGGCTTCAGCTGTAACTTGCATCTAAAAATGCTCTGTTTACTGCCCATCTCCTTCCCCCGTGTATCCATGTTTCAAAATCCCACCTCCTGGTTCTGTCCAAGTTGATAAGCAGCACCTGCGCACTGGAGCGTAGCCATGGCCCCTGCCCTTCGAGTGTTCACCAAACAAGAAATTCGCCCCAGCGAGCTGCTCGTGAAAGGCTGCCAGGGTGTGGTAGTGCAGGAGGAAAATCAAGGTAGCGGTGACTCTGCTGGGTGAGCTATATTTTGAAAACATAGATGCACATACGTGATATGTACTATAGATATTTGTGTGCTCGGGGAATAATTTTAGGTAGAGACACAAGAAAGCAGCATAGAAGAGGCCTCCGGAGAGAGTTAGATTTTGGAGCCGAGAGACTCCTCTTCATTCTACGTGCTTTTGCATTCATTCATTTTTTTTTTTTAACCATGGACGAGGCTTACTTCCTTAATTTGAAGAAGACAATTAAAACTTTAAAAATACTAGAAATGTGTATGAAAATCTATCACTCATGGGAATAGCATGACACAATTGTGTGTCGAAAACCAGGATGTATACATTTCTGGCATTTGCATTATCCTGTACGGAGAATGAATGGCAAACTAGTGAGTGAGCAAAAATGAATGAATGTGAATGCACAAAAGGGAAGATAAAACACCCCCACGCCTCGAGCGTGGGCCTCAGGGCGCCTCGGCTCGGGGGGAAGCGGATGCGAGGGGCGAGGGTGGGCCTGCATCGCGTCTCGTCAACACTGAAGACATTCACCCTCGCAAGCACAGCACGGAGACGGCCAAAGAAGACAACTGACAGGAGGCGGGACAGTCCTGTCTTGCCGTCCGGCTTGTGGCTTCCATGCTTGAAAGAGTTACCAGGTAGAGAGTCAAAGGAGGACTGCGCAAAAGCATTTCACCACAGAGCAAAAGCAGAAAGTGGCGTTTATTGTAAAGCAAAAGCAAACAGCCCCCAGAAAATGAACTTGGAGTGGGGGACCCAAACACGTTCCCCAAAGGACTCTCATCCAGGGGGCTTACAGCACACGAGTGACCACAGCCCAGCCAGGTTGAGACCAACCTGTTTTGGTTTACAGCCCCTGCGGGGTTCTAAGCAGGAAAGTTAGACTTAGAAATGGGCCTATAGGAGCTCGGGGTACGAAGCAGGCCCACTTTTGAAAGCTCTGTTAATGAAACTTTAAACAGAACTAAGACTTCCTTTGTGGAGGAGCATGAATATCTTATTTCTGCGCAGACAGGGCCTGCCCACCGCATGCGGCCTTGGTGGAGCCTCCAGGGCCTGCCCACCGCATGCGGCCTTGGTGGAGCCTCCAGGGCCTG